AGTTTATTGAGCAACTGAAGACATTTTCCAAATTTTAGTTACCGAAATTCGACAATCTCAAAGTTTAATGAGCAATAAAAAAATATTTTTCAAAATTTAATTAGCAATTGAAGACATTTTTTAAAGTTTAGCTAACAAAATTTGATGATTTCAAAGTTTACCAGTGTAACGAGCGCCATATGTACATTACATCAGCCACGTCACCAATTTCGTTAGGAATTTCAAACAGATGTCATACCAATCCAATATTTTTCAAAGTTTAACGGTTAAAATTCAACATCTTAAATTTCAGTGAACAATTGAAAACATAAACATATGTTTAGTGACTATTGAAACAATTAAGTCAAGCAGAATTAAAGGGCAATATTGTATTAAATTCTTATACAGCTGCAGCATCCCTACCTCTTGCCCACTGTCAACTGCCTTCCAGATAACTGTTCATCTTCTGCTCCCTCTCTATTCATCACACACTCACTAAAAAAACTCTCCACAAATTCGAAGATTCTGATTTCTAGTTTAACGATCTGTAAGTTCTACGAATCTTTTCTATCTCTTCTTCGATTCTTGAGAAGTTTTCAATTTTTGGGGGAGTTTTTTTCTTGGCATTACTTTGATTTTATGGGTTCATTTTTCGTTCCTTTTCTCCTTAAGATTTTTATGTATGGATTATGAACAAAGTAAAGTTTAATTATTTAAGTGAATTGATTTGACTTAGTAAAACTTTCGTACACACAGAAGGGATATTTGTGATGTGTATATGTATATGAGTTCGAAACTCATCGTTGATTTGATTGTATTGTCAGAATATGTTCGGGTTTTTTCTGTTCGTTGTTAGGTTTTTTTGGTAAATCTGTTCATTTTCTTTTAAACGTGCCTCTTTCTACTGCAAAAAATTGGTTACAAAATGATAGAATTTTCCCCTCATTTCACCTGGGGATTTTATTGAAATCATGGGCTGCCATTCGCTGTAAAGTTTCAATATTAAGAAGACTTGACCGAGCATTTTCGTTCTCTTCTTTTGATCGGAGAAAAGATTTATTTTTTCCTTCTTTTTTTGGAGTCATATTACTAATTTTTTGACTAAATCTAACTTTTGTCATTTGAATGTCTATAATCCGTGAATTATCTGTAGAAGTTTTTATCTCATCAATCTCGCTTCATTTTATCTTCTTGAGTCTCACAAACTCGAACTTTTGCTATAATTTCAGGTTCCTTGTGGTATCGATTCGTGACATTTCTGTTGGGGATAGGAGTGACAAATATGTGGTGGCTGAGTCTGTCAATTGATGTTTTTCGTTGTGTTATCTCCTTGAATTTGTACTGCAGGGTTATTCTATAAGTTGTCATTTCATCTGTTGAATTCAACCTAACTCTTCTTTCCATTATCCTCTTATCTATAGCTATCGATGGGATCCAGTCACCTTTCTTTCTTTAAGTGTTTTATCTTCATCCTATAAGTTTAGATAAGTGATAGAACCGTTCAAAACTATCGTAGTTCAAACAATTGTCGTGTTTATTTCTGATTCAAGTTTGTAGTCTTTTTGTCTTGGAGATCTCGAAGTTTGTTCAATTTGATTTCATTTCCTATAGCAGATCTGCTAGATCTTCATCTTTGTTTTTAGGTCAGGGTTCCACTTTTCTATCAGTAGTTTCGCATTTCCATTGTTCTAACTTTCATAGACTTTGAAGACCAGTCAAGAATCAAAAGAAGTTATGGTGTGCCAATCAGCGAGCCAGACAAGATTTAAGGCATTAAAACATGAGAGTGGGATTGCTGGGAGAACAACCATCATAGTTAGAGTAATAGCATGCTTTCAACCTTTGCAGAATTGCCAGGTTTGTTTAAACTGGTTTATAGCTTTGGTTATGGTTGTTGATATTATGACTTAGTTTAATCAACTGTTTGTTATCCAAGCGTTGTTATAATGTTTCTGTAATTACGATAATCATAAGGCCCCTAAACTTTTTCCTGTTCATCTGCTACCAGGCTGAATATTTTCGTCATTTGCTTAAACCTGTTACTTAGTTTGATTTCGAGTTTCCGTCATCCAATCAAGCTAGCAATATATAGTTTCCACCTTCTTTGTTTAGCATTATTGAAAGTAAGCTGTTTGCGGATTAAATTCAGACATTATCCTGGTATGGTATTAACATTTTGATGGTACTTGCACTTAATTGTCTTGATTCATTTCTGGAGCTTGTGAATGACTATTATAATTATGCATGCCAGGTTGTTGTTTTGACTGAATGGTTACAGCCAAAGAGTCCTGTCAGCAGTTATCTGCATGGAATTTACCCAATTTGGACACACTTTTACAGCTGAGGCACAACAATAGTTTGTCATGTTTTCCAAATTCTTCCTCGTATGCTGCAAATGTGGGTTTTCCTGGACATTCAATTTGTAATTTACCTGGTTTGAAAACAGGCCAGCTAAACAGAAGTGATGGGTTCTTCCAAAATCTTCCTCCTTGCTGGGAGAGCTCATCTCCTATCATAAACCCATATCTGAAAGATTCTCAATTTGGGTTATCCCATGGGATTGGGATGAGTATGAATCCTGCTGGTTCTTCTTCCACTTCCCAGAAAAAGTTCCTTATTTTTGATCAGTCTGGTAACAACACTAGATTGTTCTTTAGCCCATCGTTCTTTCCTTCTCAAAATCAAATTATTGCCTCCACTGCTGCTGCTGGAGATCATGGCACCTTTGAAGTGGCTGTTCAAACGGAGCAAGAACAACAGTCCTTGGTGAAGCCTGTTGTTCAGGAGAAATGGGATGAAAATCATTTAACGGTAGGAAGTGAGGTGCGTGAAGACACTGAAGAAATCAATGCTTTGCTTTGCTCAAATAGCACTGATGAGTATGATGAAGTAACTAGCATGGGACATACTCCATTCACTATTGAAGAGAGATATGACAAGGACATACAAATTGGGGAACTAGTTGAGGAAGTTGCCAGTTCTAATGGCTCAACTAAAAGGCAAAAATTGCTCGATGGTGGGTACAAGAAATCATCATTGGTGGACATGGGAGATCCACTGGAAATGGCTAGTCCACAAAATTACGAGGATGGTGAGGAATCAAGCTGTGCTGGTGAGAACAACTTCTATGATGATATTGATTCCATTAAAAAAGTAAAGAAGGTTAAGATTCGTGAGTCACTGAAAATTCTTGAGAGCATCATTCCTGGGTTAAAGAATAAGGATCCACTGTTGATAATTGATAGAGCTATAATTTACTTGAACTCCTTGAAGCTGGAGGCCGAAACTTTGGGAATTAGCTACCTTTGAGTTCATGCAATCCTTTATTCAACACGGGTTGTTGGATTGGAGATTTCCGTTGGTTGATTAGAATCATTAGCAAGAAACAATTAAGTGTGTGTTGATTAAATAATTTATGGATTTGAAAGTGGTAAGGCGACTTTTGCTTTTCAATTAAAGTAAGTATTGCATTGCAGATTTCATGGTGGGGTGGTGGATAGTGGTGTGCTGTGCTGTAAATGAAGACCCCTTTTCTAGGATTGTTGAGAAACTTCATGGATTAAGTGCATGCGCTTGACTATTGGGGTCCCACCCTCCATTCTCAATTGCTTCCTTGATTTTTCACTTTTTCTTTAAATCTCCATGGTATTGGTCTATAACATTGTAGGGACCCCTCATCCCCCACTCATGGATTCACCCTGTATTGCTTGTGCAAATCCATTATCAACTATTATTCTACCTGTGAGCTTTGTATTGTAAAAATTGTCGTTTGAATCTTGGTGTGTATTCGTGTACTGTTTGGTTGTGTGCATCTAATAAATAATTACTCATCTTTTTAACTGTGTTTATTTTGTTTTTGCACTTTCATGTTTTGATCCCCTTGATGAGAAAATCTTGTATAGAGTGTGATTGCTTTCTTGATTGAACATCTGATTGTGAACTTGGTGGAGTGTGGGGCCAATTCTTGTCAAGATTTTGACTCTTTCTCTGTATGAACTCGTCTCATTGAGTGCATATCTTTCCCCACCCAACTCAAAAAAAAAAAAAAAGGGTTAAACCCTAACCTTAAGGGTTCCCCACCTCCCCTGTCCTGGAGTATCGTGAGGAGGTAAATCGTAGGTTATGCCTCTAAGGATACAGGGTGGAAGGCTGCTTGTACACTTGCACTTATTCAAGAGTCAAATCCATATTTCAGGATTCGAACCTTTGACGCAGCAGCCTCAAGCAAGGCTAGATTTCTCCACCCTCCCTTTTTACCACTTGGAGATGTGCCCTGGGAGCTTTCCCCACCCAACTCACCTGCACGCCTAGTGGCAAATTCCAAATTTGGTTATCTTGGTTTAGATGGAGAGTTTCTACGTTCTTATGAACATTTTGATCGATCAAATTCAAGAATATCGGTCTTATCCTCATATAACTTATCGCCGAATAAAGCGTATAGGAGGATAGATGACTCACTCATCACGTACAATAGGATAGAAGACCGGTTTCAAGGTTCATCCATGAAAAGCAAGTCAAGTCGCGTATATTAGGATGGAATATGTAATTGAAGCAAATGTTAGGTTAATGTTCATATTTTTCTTGCATTGATGATGATGGGTGGTTCAACAAATGATCAAGATGATAATAGCAGTCTTGAATGCATTATTAGTTATTGACTAAAGATATTTCTGAACCCAAAAAATATTCCAAGCTGAAGATCAAAATCATCCATGATTAAGATTCTTTGATCAAAATATTATTATTATTTTTGTGTTATATTGAAAATATTGCATGTTCTGGAAGGTTAAAGACTCAACCCTTCCTTTGTATTGTTTCTTTTATTTAATGTGAGAGTGATACTCTATATTTATAGTTATTGTTTTTTCTCTGGGGGAGGGATGGAGGGTTAATTTGCTTCATTGGTCACAAAGCATTATTGTAGTAACAAGTTGGTTTCGAATTTTCATTCTAGTTACATAATCAATCCTTGATAATAAAGACCGTCTAAACCTCTATTGAAGCGTGACATGACTCGTGTATATTCAACTTTGTTAAACTATATTATGCTTCTCAACGTGGACTAGTGTCGTGAATTCTAAAGTAAAAACACTTTTCTATGAGGGACACGAGACAATTTATGAAACATCAACTATAATAAAAAGCTGTGAATCAATTGGTACAATTGGTTCTGAATGACGAGTGCATTTTTGTCAAAATTGATTCACTATAACTTTTGCAAATGTGTTTCAGTCATTATAACATTTTTCATTACGCAAGAATAGCAAGTACCTGGAAAATTAATTCATGAAATTCTAATATTGATNATTAATTATATATAAAAGTATTTATGTCCAAAGTCGATTGGACCTAGGGCATAATACTTACAATACCTATGCGAGCTCCAATCATACTCAAAGCAAGAGTTTGATTTTGGCTCGGACAGATGAATGATGGAGGAGTAAATCAATTGATGTAAGCAACCACAATGTAATACACATCCGAGCTATTATTCAACACCCTTAAAGGCGAAATAATGCTAGGAAGTGACAGATTGAAAGAACGATAGTTGTACGGGCTCTCTCATCTCAAAAGAAAAGTCTAATTTAGCATCAACATGAAATATACTGATAATGATTGAAATTTTTTCAACAATTTGCTTGTATCATGACTTCATAGTGTTTCGGCTTTTGGATCCACTTACTGATGAACTAAAGTGGGATGTCAAGTCATGCTTGTCCTGCCAATTTTGGCTCTAGTTTTCAACCGTACTACTTGAACAGGGCAGGTGACAAGTCCATTAAACAGTGGGTCCTTTTCAAGTAGCATTCTACCTGGTTTTTAGTCTTGACTCCTTTTGTGGCCCGACGAGCCATGGTGTTAGACTTTTTTTCATCTAACTGATTTAAGTATTTCAATTTTTCTGCTTGTACTAAAGTTACGGTGCCAGAATTTCCCCAGATGCTGCTCTGGTGGTTGGTCCTTTTTTTTTACAGTATATTTTTCTACACATAGCAGACTTCTAAGTATTTTTGTCAACCACCTAAATTATGAAAAATAACATTTATAGGATTTAGTAATCAATATAAGGCTCAAACTACTCTTAACACAATAGGCTTTTTAAGATGGAACTCCAAACGAGGCTGAAATAAAAGCTTTGGGGTCTCATTAACATTCAGCATGGATGCTTTCCTTTATGGTCTGAAACTGAATCTTTGATTACTCCAGTTGCTACAGAAAACCACACAGGGTCCATGGCAAAACAGTTCGTTTCAGTTGGTGCAAGTCATCCAGAGCTACAATCGCAAACACACATAAGTGGACGGTTCCAAACAAACTAATCACCCCAATACAGAAACAATGATGATAAGATTATTATCCTTTCAGAAATAATACTTGTTATCGACTAAGAAAATGATTATTCTGATAGGAAGAATAAAATGGAAAGAAACCTGGCAATACAGAGTTGAATTGTAGAGGTATCATTTATGAAATGGAATTTCTCCATCTTCTAGGCATCTTCTTAGTCTCTGCATTGGCTACCTGAAACGCCATATCATTGTTTTCTGTTGTTTTACCGATCTTGCTCAGTTTTCTCCACCCGGCCATCCATGCAGATGTCTGTTTTGGCTTTGCCATCTTATCAAATTGCCTCTGTAAAGTTTCCATTTCATTTTGGAGTTCCAAGTACTTGGTCTTGACACTCTCAAGTTCAAACTTTAGAGCATTGATATCCTTTTTGGCTGCGGCCCATCCTTCTTGAAATGATTGTGGCGTTCCTTCAAGTAATGTTTTACGGTTAGATATCAAGGGCTGGTACTGGGATTCACTGGCTTCTTTAAGAGAGTTGTTGGCTATCGCATTGCTAATCTTCACCTGCTCGGAGAAGAGGACTTGTACTACAACTCGTAGTGGGAGTCGTTCGTTTTGTGCAGCATGCATACATGCATCAATTGACAGCTTTTGGCAATCCATCACACGACACAGTCTCTTCCTTTCATGCTCTGTTAGTGTTGGATGAGCCTATCATTTGAGAAAAATCACCATAATTGATCTAAAAAAGGTTTATTTGATACAAAATATAGATTCCATAGAACAAAATCTATTCGAAATTGAAGGGGGACAAACCAAAATTAGTTTGGCAAAGATACAACTGCACAAGCAAATTTCTAGTGACTGGAGCATGCTAAAACTGTAATTAGAGTCTTTATTTCTAGTTATTCATCATGTCATAAACATTTTTTGCTTATCATAGAATTACTGTTTCTTACAAATGATTTTGTATCTCGTAATTCCATCTTGTTTTTATGATTATAGCTGATGAAAACGAGAATTTTTCCAACGATCATGGACTATGAGAATATCAACATGATCAGAACAAAATTCAGAAAAAAAAAATCGCAATACCTTAAGATAGGAATCAATTGCTCTATACAATCCATCGTCACAAGTTCTAGCCGATTCAGGCAATGCCTCAGCCAGGACCTGAAATTTCGTCAATGAAAGATTTCTGTCTCTCGAAACCTCTGTAAGATAGCTGTCAAGGAGCCTTGCTACTCTCATCTTGGCATTTGAGTTCGTCCCCCTCTGAGCTGAATCATACATATTTTTATCAGAAAATGACTGTCTCGCAGGACTTGAACTTTCTGACTGTTCTTGAACTAGGAAATGCTCCAAAAGCCTCTGAACAAGATCAACATCATACAGCGACTCACTTTTGTTGTAACAAGGTATCAAAAGATCTGCCAATTGAGCTTGTTCAAACTGCATCCCAACCCTTTTTTCCAATTCAGTAACCAAAGCAGGAGCCACTTTCAACATGTTTGCCAGTCTTAACAACCTAAGAAGGAAGCTACATGAAACACAATCTCTCTGCGGGGGGATTATACTTATTAGGCTTTCGATAATCATCCTTTGATCTTTGGCCTGAACAGTTGGTATATCTTCTTTAATTCCAGCCACAATCATATGTAACCCCCCTTTCCAGATACTGCTACTTTCGTTACTATTAGTACTATTACTTCCATCATCGCCAGGCTCCCCTGATCCCAACCCCTCTTTGATCAAACCAGGGAGCCATTTGCTTGCATAATGCATAATCACAGCTCCAATCAACTCATACCTCATCCCCTTCACCTTAATTGCAGTAATAACACGGACAAAATGATCAATCCGGAGAATGGAAACGTCCTCAAACCACCAATCCGGGGGCACTTGCTGGTTCCTACTTGGGCTAGAATCTTTCATCTCATTCCATTTTGGGCTGGAAACTCTCAGGGGCTTTCCTGTATATTGCCATCTTATTCCTTTCGGATTAGCACAAGCTTTCCATGCGATAGACTCACTACATCTTCTAACAATTTGGAGATTTTCTGCCCAAGGCGATAGCTTTTCACAGCTTTTCAATACTAGTATGGAGTCCCTCCATGATGATAATACCACATAACTGAGAAAAGCTTCAGTTTTGAATATCAAATTGCCTTCTTCCAAATCCTCTGTCATTTCTAGATACTCTGCCGCACATCGTAGGCCGGAGATAATAGGCGCTGTTAAATCAACAGCAATTCCATAACAGAATTTTGCCACCAGTTCAAAGGCTTCAGGCCCTCCTGGAATGTCATCTAATACCATCTTGTTTAATTCTGTGTCCCGTGATCCATATATGATTCGGTTTAACTTTCCACTCCGAGAAAGAAGAGGATACTACAAACACATAAATGACATGATTAAGTCCAAATTACTACTTTCAAAAGCAATAATAAACAGAAAAAAGGTATGCACAGATTTATAGTACTTTGCCTTCAACATGACGGATACGACCACTTATTTTTTCTACAACGATATAAACTACGAATATTAGGAGGATTTACAGTCGAAGAACAAGCGTATTCTACGATTAGGCTCGATATATGGTCCAACCAGAGTGACAGATAGAGACTAAACACGGAAAATCAAATTACCTTGTGTAAATGGAAACTAACATCTCCAATCAGAACTAAAAGGTCACTTGGAATATCAGTTGCAACATACCTATTTACAAACAAAAAATAATAATAGTAAACAAATATTTCCATAATTTACACTTCAAGAACAGCAAATAAAATTATTCGAAATTATAGGTTGAGCCCAGAATTTCCAGTGTAAATTAACGATCATACATACCAAGACTGCCCTCTTAGCTCAAAACCATCTGTCTTAACTCCATGTTTGCCTGTTGTGAGAACTCCATTACTGAAATCTCGTCCCCCAAAAGACTCAGTTTCTGAATCCCACATCGTGTAACAAACAGAGAATTCAGAGCAGAGTGTCTCAAGAAATTGATTAGACTAGAGAGTATGAGCTAAAACAGCAAAGCATAACTAATGGAGAAGCCGAACTGCTGAGTAAAAAGGAAGAATCCCACATGGGTTGCTTGGAATTATCTCTAATTGTCGGCTTCTCACAGAGTTTCAAGGCCTTCCACAGGCTGTGAAGTAATGGGCATACTAACACAGTTTTTGGATCCTTTCATTCATGATTCTTTTCTTAAACTAATCAAATTCAGGTGTTTTCTCAATTCAGCTTAGAAATGGAGTTTCACTGTTCTAGTTCCTTCTTTTTAAGCTACTTTAGAGCCTGCTTAGGAGTGTTGGGATATTGATTATGGTCATTTTTTAAAGTACACTTATGTTAAGCACCGATAATGATATGATATATCATTTAATTAGTGTAAGCAACATCGATGTTTAGGAGATTATTTTCGTTTGTATATATATATACACTAAGCTCCCGTTTGGTACTAATTAAAATTCTGATTTTAATTTAAATCAAAATGAATAATTATTTTTGTCCACACATTTTATGGAGTCCATAACTTTACAATCACATATTTCATCAATTTTTATCAAAATTTACTAAAAAATTGATTTTAATCCACATCAAACGAGAGCTAAATATGTTGACTGAAAATAATTATTTTGTAAACAATAAAATTATAAAAGAATATGAGAAACGATCAAAACCTATCGATTTGGTGGGCTGAAAATAGTTCAAAATTACATTACAAAGGCTATTGACGATTTTTAAACCATCCAAAATTGGTGCCAAAAAAATTAGCAAACACTGATTTTTCCAACCTTTCATAATCGATGTCATTCAAAATCGATCAAAACTAGTGGCGAAAAAAATTCCCAACCCCTCATACGGGTTCTTTTTCAAATGTCCTCTCAATTTAGTAAATTTAAGTTACCTTTAATTTTTTACTTATCGAACTTCAACATAAAAAAAAGCAGTTTAAACTTTTAGACAGATAATCGAGAACCGTAAAATGACTCATCACAATCAGAAAACATTCTCATTTACGTAAAAGAGTTATGAATAATTGCTGCGGTGGGTGGAGTATATAATGCACATTATATATACAGAATTTTATGGTTTATGATTGGAGCATGGACCACTTTTTAACTGATGTTGATGTTCTGGTGAAAATACTATTATTAACTAACCAGTAACTTCCATTTAACTGAGGAGTTATGCAACGCTTATAAAGGGGTCGACAAAATTGGATGACAAAATTATATCCACGCCAATTATTTCAAAAATAAGTTTTGAAATCATTTAGATTTTCTCAACGCACTTTGTAATTCAATTTTGATAATCCAACTTTTTACGAGTAACTTTATTGTTAACTGATTATGAGGCTGAGATGCAGAGTCAGGGGAGCGTCAAGATGGACCTCATGTTCACGGGACAACGAATATGTGGCATGAAAGTAAAAGTAAACTTGTCGTAAATCACCTATTTATAAACACACAACTTTTAATTCTTTATTTAATAAAAAAAATTTACTTTTTCTTCCCTTATTTTGTACAACCATACAACATTATAACTGTATTAAGTAGGATAAAGACAGTTTGGTTTTGTTTTTCCATTTATGGGTCCATTTTCATATGAATGGACTTATAATCCAAAGACATAGTCAGAGTTGATGGCCCATCTGGCCCATGCCGTCATCTTCTAGCTAGCTGTAGAAATTAGCACACTGTGCTTTTATTAAAAGCCCCTAATTAATCTTTGTCCACTTCCATCAGTTCACACCTCTGTCTGAGTGTCTCTTCATTATTTTCTTTAATTTTTTATTTTCCCTTATGCACCTTTTTTCATCTAAGAAGCTATAATTGTTATAGGTTTCTAGTTCTGATATTTCAAAAATTAGAATTTCTCATTCGAGAACCATTGATTATATGTAATTCTTGGAATCAAATCAAAATCTTCGACTCACTGATTATATGTAATTCTTGGAATCAAATCGAAATCGACGATTCCGATTAAAATTTCTAGGATGATTGATGGTATAAAATCTTAATATTTGTGTAATTTCACTTATTTCATTGTTATATGATCTAGAAGATTGTTTTATCATTTAATTTTTTGATAGTTCAGTCTCGAGTACTTTTAATTTATAACCGTTAACGCAATCAAACTTAGGTTGAAAATGTTTTAATTATAATTTAACTGGGTAAAATATACTTTTTATTTATACATCTTTTGAGACCTACAATTTATTGTTCACTTATTGTTTACATATTCCATAATACTCACCACTTATAAGCAAATAAAAGCATTGCCAAACAAACACTTAGGGGCTGTTTTCTTCGTGTTTCAGTTTTGAGTTTTGAACTTATTTTGGATTTTGTATTTTGAGTGTCTGTTTTGAAATTGTTGAAAATGCTTTCTTTTTGCCATTTTGGAACCATTTCCCGTGTTTTTTTTTTCAGTTTTGTACTGAAAATGCCCAAAAACGTCGTTTTGTGTTTTCTTCACAATTTTTTTTTTCGTTTTCGAAAACGGGAAAGAGAGTACGTTTTCACCTTTTTGAAAAATCAAAAACAAAAAAGGGCCCGAAAACGACAAAGAGAATACAACCTTATTCTTCCCAAATTTTAGGCATGAAGATTATTTTGGTGTGTAGAAAATCAGATTTGACTTGTAAGAAATGTATCATTCATTAAGTACATGTGGCCGGTTTAATCTAAACTGAACCCTTCCAACGCTCTTCATTATAATAGAACAAACTAAATATTCAAGCTCAAATCTCGTTGCTATCGATTTATCAATAATTATCACATCTCAATCTTTTCAGTAAAAGTATGAAAATATTTTCTCATTGAACTCCTTTTCCCGCACAATATTTAGGGTTTATTTGAGAGAGATTCTTTTAAAAATTATATTTTAAAAATCATTTTCAATCACATTGCACTTGAACCGAAATTGATAACATAAAGTTATTCATATATTACATGATTTATTTTATAATGTTACCTAGTTAAATTATATTATAATTAAATTTTAAGCTCGGCCAAACGTGCACGTAATCTTTTGAAAGGTTGGGTCACGTGCAGTTGAACAAGTCATGCTGGCGTTTTGGCAGACATGATGGGTTAATTACATTAGAGGTTGACAGTAAGTGGGCCTTGGTCCAATTATATATAAAAATGATTATTCATTTATGGTTTTTAAAAAAAATTCTAATATATGAGGGGTATTTTCGTAATTTGGCGGTGATCATTTTTGTTTTGATTTGATTTGACAGATCATAGTAGCCTTGCAAATTTTTTTGGGCCAATTGGTAGGGTTGAACATTGTTCGATCCGATTCTGTTCTCTTTAGAACTGAATCGAATCGAAATTTTCAGGTAGATAGCAAGTGGAATCGTCAGATCCAAATTTAATTAGAGAAAATTACCTGAAACCCTATCTTTAAAGATTAATTTTCAAAAAACAAGGGAATTAATTTTTATTTCACAAATCAGGTGATAATTAATTTTTAATAACTGTAATGAATAAAAATTTAATTAAAACCTAATCTACATATTCATCCCCACTCCACCCCATTCCCAATTCATCCCCGACTTGTTTTCTCCCTATTCTCTATGTGCCACTACAGAATACCCACCACCACCTGCCTGTGATTAAAACCAAGTTATAGTCGCCATCACCACTATGCAAGCAATGCCTTCGATGATGGTGTTGCACAAACACTGCGCGTGACGACGATGAGTTTTAAACTAGGTCGCAGTAAAATGTTGCTGCTACAACCAGTGGCGATTTGCTTCACCGGACGTCACAATAGTAGCAAGCTGATGCTCGCGACAACGCTGCTTGCTCCACTATCAGAGCTAACAGAAATTTCTGCTATATCCCCAAACAGATCGATCTCTTGTCCAACCAGAAGGTTTCAAATGTAAATTTAGGTGGTGGGTACAATGGATGGAGGGGTGGTGATGGGGAGATTACTAGAGGTAACAGAGATCACTTTGGTGGTGGTAGAGGTAACTTCACAGGTGGTGGCGAGAATATTGAAAGCGGTGGTAAGCTTATAGGTGGTGGTGGCTGTAAGTAATTACCGGAGATGAGCTCATGAGTGGTGGTGGAGAGAAAAATGATTTTGGTGTTGGATTTGGTGATGAAGGAGATGGAACCAGCATAGTTTTATCAAATTTTAAGTGGTTGGTGGTTTTTTATCTGATCTTTTATTTAACCAAAGTTTTGGGATGATTGTTGGTATTTTGCAGTGTCGATAATTTTCTTATCTGTGGTGATTCTATTGTTGGTGATAGTGTAGGCTGTGATGGTTCTGTGACTGGTTGTAACTTGAGATTGACCTGGTCATAGACAGTCACACTGAATACAATCTTGGTCACACTTAATCACACCAAAGATAAAGTTGGTCGAGGTTAATCATAGGTCTGTAGTGTGTGCATATTTGTTTGTAGTGACCCTATGCAATTAAGTATGTGTTTGTTGTGAATGTTTGTGATCAATTTTGTGTTGATTGTGATTGGTTGTAACTTGAGATTGACCTGGTTACAGACAGTTACACCGAATACAAATTTGATCACAGTTAATCATATCGAAGACAAAGTTAGTCACAAGCGTTAGAGTGATCATTGGAGCAGTTTGTCGGAGGGATCACCGGTGCGGGTGTCGAAATGATCGTCAGAACAGTCGTCGGAGTGACTGTCAGAACAACTGTCGATCACTGTCTCTGATGGCGACATGGAATGAAGGTAGTGTAGTTAGGTGATAGGATAGGGTGGGTGAGATGGCATGTGTGGAAATAACTACTGTATATTATATTATATTTTAAAATTTAATAAAAAAAAATTTCTACTTGATTTTTGAAATATTTTAATGAATTTGTTATTTATGAAATGTGATCTTTAAAACTAGGAATTATGTTAAGATCCTATTTAATTATAGAATCATTCGGGTTTGATTCCATTAGGTTCCATTCGATTTCGGGCTCTATACAATAATTAATTTTTTAATATTTACAAGTTACAACGCTATATTAATTCAACTATAACATGTTTAATCTTAACTCTTACACACAAAAATAAAATTAAATAAAAAATAAAAATTAAATAAATAAAATCAATTTCTTTATATCTTTTTCGCCACTCTTTGTTGAGTTCTTCATAAATTTGACTGTTAAAATTACAAGAATGTGAAGATAGTGAGCTCACAATAATGAAGAGATGCACAACCAAATTTTCAATTCGATTTCTTCAGAATGATAGAAACAATAGAATAAGAGATTTGGATAAAATTTAAGTCAATTTGATTAAGTTGGCTTGGTTGGAAATTAGAAATAAAAAAATTATACTTTGATTTGGGCTAATTAGTTAGCAAAATTATTTAAAAAATAAAATAATTTGACTTATTTAAAATAAAAAATTTAAATATGTAGGAAAATCGATTATTTAATTCTTGGTCTAGAACTTAGAACCGAACTGAACTCGTCGGTTCTTGATTCAATTTGATTCTCAAGTTTTAAGTTCAGTTCAGATTTTCATTTGAGTTGTTCAAATTAAAGTTGACAGATTATATTATTCAGAGACGGATTTAGGGGGGCTGGGCTGTAGCCCCCACACTTAGGCCCAAGAACTTTTTTTTAAGGTATTTTTTATTTTTTTGGGGTAAAAAATTAGTTTTTTATGTGTAAATTTTTTTTCACGTAGTAGTCCGATTTAAAATTTTGTTGCTCGGTACAATCCTGGATCCGTCCCTGATATTATTACCTAAGTAATTACGCATTGTAGAAAGTCAGTATTATTAAAAAAAAGTAAGTTTTTCAATACAAATTTCAAATGAATTTCTTATGTTAGAGGATATTGATGGCTTGAATCAAATGAAGCATACATGAGTTTGTTCGACAAAGTACTTTGTGATCAAGGTAAGGAAGCTATTCCCCCATCAACTTTGAAATAACTTGATTGAGGGACCGTGGAGTTTGTCAATCTCCTACCCCAATGTTTCTTGGAATAACTAAGTTTGAAGGGTTGTTATTGAGTTGTCAAAATGTACGGACCCTTCAAATTCACAATGTGGTGTCATACTCCCTAGAAAAATCTTGATCGAGACATGACATAGTATCTCATTCGATAATTTAATTAAATAAGGGTAGTCTATACTCCAAGCTAAGGTCAACTATAAGGGGAATAAAAATAATGTAACGATCACCAGTGAAGTAGCTAAGGGCTATAAAGAATGCTAAAAAAGTTTAAGTTAGAATTAAGTCGATTTGTCCATCTCACTATTTTTTATTCTTTATTTTTAGTTGAACAAACATAATAATTACAGTCGTAAAAGAAAAATGATGGAATTCTCAATCCTCTTCAAACATGTAAATTTTAATTAGGGAGTACTTTCATACCAAAATAACACTCTCTCAAGTTGAGATCTGGTGTGCTAATTTAGTTGTTCTCACTCAATTTCGACATCCGGGCACATCAGCTCTTGCTAATAAATGAGAATTACATCATTTCACTAGCGATGTCAATGTAGTATACTATGCTCAAGGGATAAAAAATTTAGGGGAGGACGTTTAAATGTGGGCAACAGATTTCATTATCTCAGCTCTTCTATCTTGAGACTCTTATTGATTTCTTACCTATTATTATCTCGGTATCTATCATAAACTAGGACACTTAACTTTAGAAACCTATTACTGTCCCGTGAGCTGAGGTTATTAGAATGAGCCACCAGCAACGGCAGCCCTTGACCTTCTGGCACGCCTTGCCGAAGATGCCGATCGTGGTTGTGTCATCCTTGCACGAGCTCTGTTCGATCCTCATGAACATTGTCATTCCGATCACTGGTACCCCTTATCATTAATCGCAGCAATCGTACCCTCCAAGCTCACATGACAGTACACCCTAGCCTTACACCCAAGCAAAATCATTAACTTCCACTCTCTTTTCTCTGAACATTCCCCCTACACACTGGCGGACCCACAGTGGGTCCTGGTGGGTCAAGTGACCCACCAACTTAAAATTCAATTTTTATTTTTTTTTTCCCAGAAATCAGATTTGAAGCCTCATTCTTTGGGAAATTATTTCTTGCCGATGATTTTTTTTCCCTATGAAATGGAATTGGGGATCCACTTAAGTGCTTCAATTTTTATCTTGTTTTGGCGATTTTATAGTAATGGATTCTTGCCATGATTTTTTTTCTTTGTTTAAACTATAATGTAGTTGATAACGTAACATTTAGACTTTGCTATGACTTTCGTATTTTTTACTTGAATTCATTGTTTTCATTGATTGTGATGTAAAAATAATTTAAAAGTAAATACTTTTTTCTTTTTTTTTTTAATGATTACAATGTTAATGAAAGGATTATTCGTGATAAAAGCTGATGTCGGAAATAAAAAGGATCGATAAACTTGGTGACATTAGAGATAAAAGTACCTGTGTTCTTTGCAAGTTTAATTGTGCCTCACTAATTTCAAATATCTGCGTCCTCTAGTACTTCAATGTGACTCATCACCATTTGCCGCCACAAAGAAATCCCATCCTTAATCCCATCACTCTTTTCGATGTTTAAGGTTTCACTATACATGGCTTCCATTAAAGTCGTCGACCAACGTCCCATTTGTTGATCCCAAAGGCGATGGAAGATTGAGATTTAATGGTAATAATGATATATTCAAGATCGCTTCACGAAAACAAGATTAAAGTAAAGTAGAAAAAGAGAAACTAAGCAGAGGAACGATAAAACTAAGGCTCAACTAATCATCAAAGAAACACACAGATTTACTTACAGGAAATACCATCTCAGCTTTCAACAGTCGTTAGGTCATATTAATATTTGAACAATGCACAACCATCAACTTAAGTATTATCTCATGACCTTATAATCAACAATATAAGGGTCAGCATTTTATGTACACAGAAGTCGGTTAATCGCACCTTCTAGTCTAGACGACGAAGCATCTATCTTCCGTCACTGTCTTGGTAAGGCTTCAGCTAGTATAAGTTATCTTCCACCCCAGCTATGTTCAAAATTGCGAGATGCATCAGCAGTTTTACTTTGGAGTCAAAATGCTGTACAGAGGTTTCCAGTCTTCAAGTTAGACGAACACTCCTGTTCAATTGGCCGAGCTGGACTACATAACCTGCTTCTCTTAGGTTCAGATATTCTAACACGTGAAATTGCTACAGCAAGAACATCGACAAGACCACTATCCTCTCCTACGGTTGAACCACCAGATACTAAAGTTGGACTAGAGTCTTCACTGAGTGTGTTTCGGGATATTAACTTGTTTCTCTCGGACTCTGCCACAGGTAGAGAAGTTGTCTGTTTTAAAGTGTTCTGCACCTTTGGTTTGACAGTTGAGGTTTTCAATGTGGGTTCAGTGTAGAATGAAATCCATGGATGCCCTGAAAAAAACACATTTAACAATAAGTTCCAAAGAACAAGAGACTGATGATCAGTAGTCATATAGAACTCACTAAGGAACATTAAATGTCTAAAACGGTCAAGATCAAAACAGAGATTGCTCCAAAAATGCCCAATGTGTTAACAGAAGTATGAGATTCCAAAATTAAACATAAATCATTAATGCCATTGCCCAACATGAGAATTACATGAATAATTTTCTATATTTACTTATCGTAATTTTTTTGTAAGATTTTAGGCACATTCCTTTCAACGTTATGCCCAACACTCAATATTAAGCCTAGGCTTAATGTATAACGAACAAATATATCCAACATTTTGTTCATTCACAAAACGTAAGGTGCACAACCTAATACTATAAGTGTGATGGCCCGAATCCTTGACTATTCGAGAGTCACAGTTGGTATATTATAATACCCACATTCGAATTTCCGGGTCTAATTATCAAAATTGAAAATTTAGGGGCTCATTTGAGGGTTAATCCACCTTCTAAGACCTTATAGCAAACTTACCATAAGTGCTAATTCCCACATGTTTTTGATAAAATTCTTGGTCAAACACTTAGAAAATTCTTGATTTATACTTGATTGATTGATCAAACATAAGGTAAAATTATTTATTTATGCTTGATTGACCAAACATAAGGTAATGTGTAGTGTGAATGCATAAATGAAGGAATGATAGAGAGATTCTTGCTCATTTCATAAATTTCAAAGGACAAATTCCACCATCATGAAATTTTTCTTGAAGATGCATGCTTAATCTTCTCCTATTTAAACCTCTCATTCACATTCACATGCTACCACTCACTAGTATATTTTTTTAGTCCAAATAATATATACATAAACATTCATAGCCGAGGTGAAAATTTGTAGAGGTATTAAGTTTCTATTATTCTTTCATTCAAATTTCACTGTAAGTACGCAGCATATATTGAATTATTGTTATGTAATGAATTTCAAGAAAATTATTATGGGTCTCATATGCTATGATATGATTATGATTATGTTAAGGGGACCGGAGTTTAGTAGCGTAACACATAAGAATTCTTACCACCTATGTTCGTTAAATTCTTATGTCTCCGTTATGCTAATTAAGATTATTATGCTCTTTTAAGTTATATACAATAATAATTCATGCCGTATTTATTGAGATTTTATAAATCTCAACCTATGATAATTCTCCCCTTTCAGGCAACTGATGGTTCGAGGCAATCAACGTGGATATGAGAATGAGGCTAGGATTAATAAAATTGTGTTGTGTTTAAAACACAACTTTGAATTTCAAATTTAATTGTTATGTTAGAATTATTTTCTTTCATTTTTCGCAGCTACATGATAAAATCAAAATTTATTTACTCATTGAAGAAAAAATAAAAATTATTTCATGCTCTTATTTTAGTTCTTATGAAAGAATTAAGTTTTATTTAGTGACTCTCGAATAGTCAAGGATTCGGACCGTCACAGTTGGTATCAGAGCTAAGAGTTTTCAAATCGGTTCTGTAGACTTAACATATATATTTTCAAAATTTCGAGCTTCAAGAGTTTTCTGAAAAATTTTTTTTGATAAGAATGCATCTTAGAATTGATTTATTTAGTTGGACTTTATTATAAATAGACTAATACTATCTAAAAGCTTTAGTCCAAGAATCGGTTTGGATCCAATGATTAAGATGAATTTTTTTGAAAACAAGTTGATATTTAAAATGAGATTTTAAGTTGTTCTAAGTCACTAGCCACTATGTCATTCTCTATGTCTCTACTTCCTTGAACTAGGTATGTATGCACTTCAAATATTCATGTCATCTCATTTATGAAAGCATGCTTATTACATAAAATAGCAATCATGAATATCATGACAAAAGAAGAATATAGTTGCAATTTATTTAGACTTGTTATGCATAAAAGTCAATAAAAATATAAAATTTTGTATGTTATAAGTGTTTACTATTATGTCATTGATAGAAGATCTAAGATTTTATACTAATGGAAAAACCATGAAATATATAGATGATAGCTATGTGATTTTAAATGCATGTTAAGTTTAATGGAAATGATTCAACTAGAGGTTAAGTTTACGATAATATAGAATCACATATTATATGAATTAGATTAATAATAAATCCACGTACGATAATTCATCCCTTTATCACTACCTTTGTAAAAACAAGGAAAAAACTGTGGATGGTTATTAATATGTTTTCTTAAAAAATTTTAACTCTTGGTACAATAATCCATTCCTTTATCACGACCTTTGTAAAAAAAAAAAAAAAGGGAAAAACTATGGATGATTATTGATACGTTCCCTTAAAAGTTCCAACTCTGGTATAATAGCTGATTTTTTTACCACTGCCCATGTGTAAAAAATAAAAATAAAAAAATTGAAAAGCTCTTTTGGAAAGAAAAGTAATTATGTTCCTTTCTTTCTGATAGATGGTGAGCGGACAAGGTCAAACCAGTCGAACTGAGAGGCGCAATCATTTTACTTGGTTGCATAGGAATTACAAGAGAAACCCGAACCACGGTTTGATATAACACATAGATGCCATGGAAAGGATTTACCGAGGGGCAAAGGCGAATGTATATCAATTTCATAGGGATGAGATCGTGTATCACCTTGACCGAACCCTTACTACTTATTGGAGGCAATTTATCAAGGGAATCGAAGAGACCTTCGACTACCAGACCTCTCCTGATTTACTACTTCGATGCATGAGGGAAAGGTGGAGGGTGAATCGTGAAGACTTTAGAGATACCAATAAGTGCCAGGCTATGAATCCAATCTAGGTAATGTCATAACAATACCTGAGGTTGACTATGAGGGAAATTATGTTGAAGAAGACCCGAGTGAAGAATACAACCCCGCGTCGTATTCCGCTATTTATCCGAAACCAAATCCTGAGGAAAAAGAAAGGGAGGATACTGGGAAGAACTATTAGATGATGCCTAGTTGACTTTACCTTTTTCAATTTTTGAATTTCAGTTGTTTGGACACTGAGTATGCTCGGTGGTTTGTTATTTATGTGAACTTATGAATATTTATGAATAAAAGCATGCCATTTCTTTATGTTTCATATCCTCAATTTAACTTAACTCTAAATAATTACTATCATTTAATTAAGGCTATGGCACCCCGAAGTAGAAGGACTAACAATAACAATGACCAAAATCAAGAGTCCACACAACCTGCTCAGCCTCAGCCTAAAACGATTGACCCATAGTTTGCCCAACAATTTCTCGCTATGATGCAAACTTTTGTGCAAGCTACGATGCCGCCGCCACCACCTCCTCAACAGCCAACACCATCATCTTATCCGCCACCTCAACCAAAACAACAGCACGAAGTTACCCTTGACACTAGGACTACTGTTGCTGTGGTTGAGTAGTTCAGGAAATAGCATCCTCCTATCTTTCATGGTAGTACGGACCCCTTGGAAGCGGAGGACTGGCTGGTGGGCATGGAGAGAATTTTTGAACTCATTAACTGCCCGAGACCTAGAAGAGTGATATGTGCAACCTTTATGCTACGTAAAGGCGCTAGACGGTGGTGGGACACCACTACCAAATCAAGGGCTCCTGGTCATGTTTGGATGTGGGATGAATTCAAGGAGGCTTTCTGAAAAAGTACTACCCACGAGTATTCGAAATCGAAAAAAGGTTGAGTTCCTCACTTTGACTCAGGGCTCAATGACGTCGATCGAGTACGAGCAGAAGTTTGAAGAGTTGGCTCATTATACCCCTGAGTTTGTGGATACAAAGGACAAGAAGGCAAGACGTTTTGAGCAGGTTCTGAGAGATGATTTGAAATGGACTATCATAGTGCTTCAGCTTGAAAACTATCATGATGTGTTGGCAAGAGCACAATTGGTAGATTTCAAGAACCATACTCGTGGGGAGGAAAAACAGCTTAATGGACAGTCAGAGAAGCGAAAGTGGGTGGATAATAAGGGTAAAGGGAAACAAGATTATGCCAAAAAGAGTAAAGGAAATTCAGCGCAAGATGGCAACAAGAGTTACCCACGCTGTGGAAAATGTCAGAAGCATCATCAGGGAGCTTGCCTTTTGGGGACGAATTCTTGTTTTCGGTGTGGAGGACAAGGACACATGGCTCAGTATTGCCCAAAGTATGGGAGCAACCAGCAAAGATCACCGGGGAACAACCAACATAGACAGGGCCATGCACCAGAAGGACAGGCTAGGGTTTATACACTGGCAGGGCAGGAGAAGGATCAGAATCGAAATGTCTTAGCAGGTAAAGTCCTCATATCCGACTTACTAGCCTATGTATTGATAGATCTGGTGCAACTCACTCCTTTATAGCCCTTAAGTTTCTATGTAAACTGGATGTTATGGTTGAATATGCACAATTCCCTTTAGTAGTAACGATGCCCACTGGGGATATAGTGAATATTAATCAAATAGTTGGAACAGCAAGACTAGAAATTGATGGTAAATCATTGGAGATGGAATTGCATGTATTAGATAAGGACGAGTTTGATGTGATTCTTGGGATGGATTAGCTATCCAAGAATCACGCGATAATTCGTTGTTTAGAAAAAGAGGTGATTTTTTAAAGACCGAGGGAAGAGAGATTTCGATTATCTATGGTTGGAGGTGGAACCTTACCCCGCACCTTGCCTGCATTGAAAGCCCGACAGCCTGACAGGTCGTACCATTAGAAATCACTAAAGGATTCCTAATGTCAGTAATAAGTAGAGAAGAGAACAATAGATTAACTGTTGACGAGGTTAGGGTGGTATGTGAATATCCATAAGTCTTCCCCGAGGAGTTGCCAAGCATGCCACCAGAACGAGAGGTAGAATTTACAATTGACCTTACTCCCGGCTCAGTACCCCTCTCTAAAGCCCCGTATAGAATGACACCCAAAGAATTACAAGAATTGAAGACACAGCTGGAAGAACTATTGGACAGAGGTTTCATTCGGCCCAATGTATCTCCATGGGAGGCACCGGTGCTGTTTGTTAAAAAGAATGATGGATCCATGAGGATGTGTATCGATTACAAAGAATTGAATAGAATCACTATCAAGAATAAGTATCATCTTTCCAGGATTGAGGATTTGTTTGATCAGCTTAGAGGTGCAGTGGTATTTTCCAAAATCGATTTAAGGTCTAAATATCATTAATTGAGAATCAAAGCTAGTGATATCTCTATGATTGCTTTTAGAACTCGGTACAGACACTATGAGTTCTTAGTTATGCCATTTGGACTACCTAATGCTCCTGGAGCCTTTATGGATTTGATGAACCGCGTTTTCCACAAGTATTTGGATTAGTTTGTTATCGTGTTCATCGATGATATCCTAATCTACTCAAGGAATAATGAGGAACATGAAGAACATTTAAAGATTGTGTTGGAGGTATTGAAGGAGGAAAACTCTATGCCAAGTTCAAAAAGTGTGAGTTTTGACTGGAGCGGGTAGCATTCCTTGGACACATTGTCACTGCCCGAGGAATAGAGTGTTGAATTGGTCAAGGCCAACCAATGTAAGAGAAATTCGTAGTTTCTTAGGCTTAGCAGGATCCTATCGGAGGTTCATTGAAGGATTCTCCAAAATATCAGGACCGTTTACACAATTAACACGCAAGGTGTGAAATTTGACTGGACAGAGAAGTGTGAACAAAGCTTTAAGGAATTAAAACAAAAGCTAGTAAACGCCCCAGTGTTAACCATACCCAACGGATCAGACGGTTTTGTAATCTATAGTAATGTTTCGAAACAAGGTTTGGGATGTGTCTTGATGCAGCACGGCAAAGTGATTGCCTACGCATCGAGACAATTAAAACTACATGAACAAAGCTACCCCACGTACGACCTAGAACTTGCTGCGGTAATTCATGCATTAAAAATTTGGAGGCATTATCTTTACAGAGGTAAATGTGACATTTATACGGACCACAAAAGCCTCAAGTACATCTTCACCCTGAAGGAATTGAATATAAGACAGAGAAGGTGGCTTGAGTTAGTTAAGGATTACGATTGTGAAATTCATTATCACCCAGGCAAGGCGAATGTGGTAGCTGATGCCTTGAGTCGGAAAACGGCAGGTCAATTAGCTATATTGACTACACAAGAACCACTATGGAGAGAATTTGAGAGATTGAATCTCGAAGTTGTCACCACTCAACCAGGTGTGGCCGCTCGAGAGCAGCTCTCTCTATCCGACCCACACTTTGTGACAGAATTAAAGGACATCAAAAGGGTGATCAGTCCTTCGAGTACATCAAGTCTAAGATTAACTCAGAAAAGTAGAAGGATTTCACCATAGCTGAAGATGACGCATTATATTATCAAGGACGGATGTGTGTACCAAATTTCGAAGAATTGAAAAGAGAGATTATAGAGCAGGCTCACTCCTCTCCTTATTTAGTACACCCGAAAAGTACGAAGATGTACAAGAATTTGAAGGCAATATTTTGGTGGGAAAGAAGAATATAGTTGAGTATGTCCAGAAAAGTTTAGTGTGTCAGCAAGTAAAAGCCGAATACCAGCGACCGTCAGGGTTATTTGAACCATTGGAGGTCCCAGAGTGGAAGTGGGAGCATGTGACTATGGACTTCGTGATTGGTTTTCCAAGGTCAGCAAGAGGTCATGATGCTATTTGGGTCATAGTAGATTGACTTACCAAATCAGCTCATTTCTTGCTTGTTCGAATGACGTTTACTATGGACCAATTCGCGCAGTTATATGTTAATGAGATAGTAAGGTTACATGGTGTGCCTGTTTCTATTGTATTGGATAGAGACCCAAGGTTCATATCGAACTTTTAGAAAAGTCCACACCGAGCTATGGGAACTAAACTAAAGTTTAGTACGACATTTCATCCTCAGACGGACGGGCAATCTGAGCGAACAATTCAAACATTGGAGGACATGCTTCGGACATGTATCCTGGAGTTTCGGGGACAATGGGAGAAGCATTTACCTTTAGTTGAATTCTCATACAACAATACTTACCAAACTTCAATTAACATGGCACCATACAAGGCATTATATGGGAGAAAGTGTAGATCACCAGTTCATTGGGATGAAGTCGGTGAGCGAAAGATTTTGGGGCCAGAAATTATTAAGCAGATAGTGCATGCAATTGAAAAGATTCGCTCCAGCATGAAAAGTGCTCAAGATAGACAAAAGAGTTATGCTGATAGAAAGAGAAAGTCTGGAATTTTTAGTTGGTGAGAAGGTATTCCTCAAAGTAGCACCGATGAAAGGAGTGCTACGTTTTGGCAAGAAGAGTAAGTTGCAACCAAGGTTTATTGGCCCGTTTGAGATCTTGCAACGTATTGGGAATGTCGCATATCAATTAGCATTACCTCCCGAACTTTCAGCTGTACATGACGTCTTCCATGTGTCAATACTAAGAAAGTACATCCCCGATCCAGGCCATGTGGTCAACCCATCAGTCTATTGAATTACAGAGAGGTTTAAACTATGAAGAAGTACCAATAAGAATTGTTAGTCAAAAATTTCAAGCCCTCCGGAACAAAGTGATCTCACTAGTAAAAGTACAATGGCGAAATCACTCGGTTGAAGAGGCCATGTGGGAGCGAGAGGGGGAGATGCGGGCAAAGTACCCACAACTCTTCGATGAATTTCAAGGTAAATTTCCAGGATGAAATTTATTTTGAGGGTAGATTATAATACCCGCATTTCCGGGTCTAATTATCAAAATTGAAAATTTAGGGGCTCATTTGAGGGTTAATCCACCTTCTAGGACCTTGTAGCAAACTTACCATAAGTGCTAATTCCCACATGTTTTTGATAAAATTTTTGGTGAAACACTTACATAGAAAATTCTTGATTTATGTTTGATTGATTGACCAAACATAAGGTAAAATTTTTGATTTATGCTTAATTGACCAAACAAAAGGTAAAATTCTTAATTTATGCTTGATTGATTGACCAAATATAAGGTAAAATTCTTGATTTATGCTTTGATTGACCAAACATAAGGTAAAATTCTTGATTTATGCTTGATTGACCAAACATAAGGTAATGTATAGTGTGAATACATAAATGAAGGAATGATGGAGAGATTCTTGCTCATTTCATAAATTTCAAGGGACAAATTCCACCATCATGAAATTTTCCTTAAAGATGCATGCCTAATCTTCTCCTATTTAAACCCCTCATTCACATTCACATGTTACCACTCACTAGTATATTTTTTTTAGTCCAAATAATATACACACACATTCATAAGTCGAGGTGGAAATTTGTAGAGGGATTAAGTCTCTATTATTCTTTCATTCAAATTTTACTGTAAGTAAGCTGCCTATATCGAATTATTACTATGTTATGAATTTCAAGAAAATTATTATGGGTCCCATATGCTATGATATGATTATGATTATGTTAAGGGGACCGGAGTTTAGTAGCGCTACACATAAGAATTCTTACAACCTATGTTCGGTAAATTCTTATGTCTCCATTATGCTTATTAAGACTATTATACCCTTTTAAGTTATACACAATAATAATTCATGGCGTACTTATTGAGATTTTATAAATCTCACCTTATGATAATTCCCCCCTTTCAAGCAACTGATGGTTCGAGGCAGTCAACGTGGAGATGGCAATGAGGTTAGGATTAATAAATTATGTTGTGTTTAAAACAAAACTTTGAATTTCAAATTTAATTTTTATGTTAGAATTATTTTCTTTCTTTCATTTTTTGCAGCTACATAATAAAACTAAAATTTATTTACTCATTGAAGAAAAAATAAAAATTATTTCATGTTCTTATTTTAGTTCTTATGAAAGAAATAAGTTTTATTTAGTGACTCTCGAATAGTCAAGGATTCGGGTCGTCACACTAAGTAGGCCCTTCAATGTTTTTGTTTCAATTTTGCAGTTTTATACTATTATTGTCTTGAATAACATACCATAGACACTTAAGAAAACAAACCTAACTAAACACCAGTGTCAACATAATACTTGACACATAAACTTACCAAGCAAACTAGTGTCAATTATAATCATTACCATAGCCAAAATACCTAAATGAAAGAGGGGAAACTGGAGATTACTCACTTAGAACTTCATTTGCAGTAAGCCTCGCTGAAACACTCCTAGTCAACATGCTAGAGAGTAGATCACAAGCAGGCTGTGATACTGAGTCCCACACATCACCACTAAAATCAAGTTTTTCTTTCTTGATAGCTTCAAACACAGCTTCCAGAGAATCGCCTTGAAATGGGAGCATACCAACTAGAAGCGCATGTAGTAGGACACCAGCACTCCAGATATCCACTTTCTCAGAGTAATTACCCAACAGCACTTCCGGAGCAACATATGCAGGACTTCCAACTACACCCGTCAAGCTCTGACCTGTAATGAAGAAGATAATTATCACATGTGATAAACATCAAAAAATTTATTCAATTCAGTGCCTTGGAATTATAATTCATTCAACATATAAAATAAATACTCCTGGCCCGAAAGAAAAAGAAGCACATCCTAGGATAGGAAACTACTCATGATATAGATGAGATAGCAAGTGATGATGATGGAGATCAAGAAGAGATAACTGATAAGTACAATATAAGAATAAAGATAGACTTTAGATAAGAGCATCTTCAATAGATTCTATAAATACAATATGCTCTTTATTTTAAAGAGTTAATGCTTAAAAATAAGTTCTAAGAAACTCTATTTTAACCTTTTAAAATAGAGAGTGAGTTTGGCTCTCCAAATTTTGAAAGTCAAACTCACTCTCTATTCTTAATTTATAATGATTGTATTTGATAAATCATGAATTTCAATACTCTAATTCTTAAACTATTCAAACAACATTTAATTTGATTCGCCATTGACATATAAAAAATTATGTTAAATTAACATTTGAGGAAAAATCAATAAATGTTTATTGAGAAAAGCAAAATTAACAGCCAAAATAGAGATCATAGTTGAAGTACATAAAAATTTTGACTCTCTAAATTTAAAGATGCTATCTATTATGCTCTCTATAAATAGTATCTTGAAAATGCTCTAAGGAGTTAAATTAGAGTTTAATTCAAGTTATATTATTTAGATTATATTAGATTAGTTTTAATACTTTGATAAAATTTCAGTAGAAGTTTGTTTCCTTTTAACTTCTTTTTAGTTTACCTGCTATATAAATAGAGGGTCTTATTCAATGTAATAGTTAATCAAATCATATGAATAAAAATTGATTTCTCTATGCCCTCAATTCTTCTCTTCTTTGGCCCCCTTTCTTTTATTGTTCATTACAAATTACACGTTCCTATGTCACTTAGATAGTAGATGATAAATTTCTTAAGGGTTCAAGTTTGTTGCAGGTATACTTGAAGTAGCAAGTCAGTCCAGGTTAAAATTAAAACATGCCATTTTAGTTTCATCAGGTTCTCCCTTGCTCTTGTTGACATGTCAAAATGAAAAAAATCCTCTCCCTTCCCAACATCCCCACACCCACCTACTAGTCACAAACTCCTTTTTCTTTCGTTCTTTTTTCAGTTTTAAGAGATTTTAGTAAAGTAGGCAGCTAACGAAACAAAGCAATTTCTACATTCACCAAAAATTTAACAGACTGACACTTGTATGTACCATGTAGGTCCATTCAGTGTTCCTAACTGAATAAAACTATTGTGGACTTCTTTTTAACATTGGCTGCAAAATAACTGAATGGTAGAGATAAACAGTAGCCATCTTAACAACATATCAAGACAAAAAGCAATAATTTAACATTGAACATTATAGTAATGTAATACAGCAATCAAGAGTCCCCCCATCTCACTCAAAACCCAAACTGCTAAACATTATGCAGAATGAGCCTGGGGTAAATAGCATCAATTACATTTACTTATCAACCTCATATGGCCATCGAGAAAATTATTGAGTTAACATCATAAATATTAGCCACCAGGTGGACCAGACTTCTCAGACTGACAGTAACTTTCTCATGCTTCATATCAAGTTGACTGTCTGGTTGAAGCCTTTTGCTGGTCAAGTCACAAAGTCAGCTAGCAATTTTTTAGTCAGTAAAAGAAATTCAATGGCTCGTGTCACTATTATAAGTAAAACAAGAAATAGGGAAGTTAACTTACAGAAAATAGAATCTATTTAGCCCGGTATGCGATCAGAGAAATAGACATTATTAATATGAAAAGGAGAAACATCCATTTATTCACCGCAAAATACGTAGTGGATTTGGTCTATATATTATGTATAAAGGAGTACAAAAATGGAATACTGAAAGCTTCAGTGGAAAAGAAAATAATTAAAAATACTCACCATCTAAAATTCTCACAGCCAAACCAAAGTCAGCAAGCTTCATCTGTCCAGAAGTTGTAAGGAGGATATTCTCAGGCTTTATATCCCGGTGAACAACACCCATCTCATGGCAGTATCGGATGGCCAGCATTAGCTCCTTAATTATGTTAGCAGCCTGTCGTTCACTATACGGGCCTTCTCTAGCCATCTGATCAAGCAACCGCCCCCTAGAACAAAGCTCCATCACAAGATGGAAAGACTCAGCATCCTCGTACACTGCCTTCAGTGTCACAACACCTGGATGCCCTGAGAGGTGTTGCATTATCTCCACTTCCCGGTGTACAATCTCCTCCCCTTTCCGCAAAGTCTTGCACGCAAAATATTCTCCACTTGCTTTACACCGACAATACACTACTGACCCAAACTTTCCTCGCCCAATAGTTTCACCCAACTCATACTCTTGTTCAATCTTTTTCTTCCTACCCAAACGAGTTGCCACATCAATACATCCAATTTTCCTTTTAAGACCTCTGGCCGGAGAGTTCAAACATGCAGTCCCACATGGTGGGGCAGTGACAACTCCAGTTACTAAACTTCTATAGGAATCAGCATTTTTTACAGATACTACTTCCCTGCATTTCTTTTTCCTCCTTGAATAATCTTCCAAGGATAAATGTGACCACAATATTGCCAATGAATTTTGTTCCTCAACTTCTTTTTGACATACTTCTGATATCTCCACTCCCTTCCTCTTCTTCCTCAAACACTCCATGGACAATCAACAAATCCAATCCGACCCAAGTATTTAAGACCATAAGCAACATAAAACTAAAATTCACAGAGATTTTATAAAACCCTAAATTCACCAATGCCAAAAATCAAATCAATTCAACGAAATTTCCCTACTTTAACCTAAACAATCGATTAACCTATAATCTACCCCCAAAGATAATGAAAGCCCATGTTCAAATATTTCTGATTTTTGGTAAAATCCTGCAATCAGAAATAGTATCGATCAAAACCCCCTGTTTAATTTACTGTTTTAAAAGGAAGAAATAAAACAGGGCCAAGATTTTATACCCTGGCATGCTAAGGCTTCTTGATCTTTTTCTTGCGACCCATCTATTTACCCCCAATAATCTGCAATTACAGCAAAACAATTAATACCCTCGACAAATCATTAAAATAAATCCCCATTAAATCTAAACCGAAACTCGCAAATCCTTGAGAAAGAAAATCGCGAAGAGAAATTTATGCAAAGAATATTCGAGTAAAATTATACCTTCACACAGAAGAAATCTAGAGCGAAGAGAAGTAATCAATAGTCCTTCGGAGAACAAAAAGGGAAAGTTGTTCGTTTTTTCTGCTGTAGACACAGTGCGCACTGTGTATACGCACGTGACGCTAATAGCTGTGTCGCGCGAATTCATTAAGATCAGAGGTGGGGACCTGCCATGTCATCGATTTTAACGGTTGAGATCTGATCTGCGTGTGGGTCCAATTAGTCGTTTGCACCTCTTTACCAAAAATCACTCTCTCCGTCCATAAAGATAAGTTATGTTTTCCTTTTTCGTGTTCTATTTTTTATTTAAGAGGATAATTAATATATTAATTTTCTTATATATCATGTGCTTTGTTATTATGAATATAATTTAATTATTTTAAATATTGATTGCATTAATAATTTAATATAAAAGTATATTAAGGAAAACGATAGTAAAATTTATTATTTCAATTATATTAATTAATTTTTCTTGATATGTGTAAAAAATATAGGACTACCTTTATGGGTTGGAGGGAGCGACTTAATTTTGAAAACAAATTTTTTTTCTAGTTTCTTCATTGAAATTTATTCGCTTTATATAATTTCTCAAGTAAAAATTAATTTATGTAAATTCGATGTATTCGAAATAATAAAAACACATTTGCAATCTAAAATAGAAAGCATAAAAGTGAACCAAAATATTTACACGAGTTTCATGTGTTGAATTCTCATTTGTATTTGATTCAGTTACACATCTTGACCCACTTATATTGTAGACTTAAGAAAAAATATATACGGCAAAGTTCAAACAAGCATCGTAAGGAAACAAGAAAGAGGCCAAACAAACTATCAACCAAGGGTGACAGGCAGACCAAGTTGCTCATGGATTCGACTAGTCTAAACTCAATCACTTAGTTGCTCCAGATTGTATGGGGACAAATCGACGGACAAGCCAATCATAAAAAAAAATTTAAAATAAAATAAAAAGGGCCGACCTAGCTCGACTCATTGAGGCCTCGAGCTAGATCGTTTTTTGACTTACTTCATTAATTTTATTTTTTTTTAATTGCTTATTTCTTAGCTTATTTTATTTTTACAAGCCGATCTCAAGTGTTGAATTCGACACATTAACACTTCTTATTCAGCCATAATAATAATAGAAAAAAATTATATCTAAGAATTTAATTTTTACCCATTTCAACACAAAGAAATAAGGTTTAAAACTTCAAAATAAGATATTATTAAATTTTATTTATGAAATAATTAATTAAAAATATAATAAGGTCACAGTTTCATACAATTTAGTCACACATTATTGAATTTTTAGTTATAAATTATTTATCGATCACAAATGAAAAACTTTATATGTTACAATTTATTCATCGATCATAAAATCAAAAACTTTATATGTCAAAATTCATTCATAGATCATAAAATAAAAAATTTTATAGATCACAATTCATTTACCGGCCATAAATCACAAATTTTATAAGACAACTTATTTAATCACAAATTACCAAATTGATTGGTTACAAGTTATTTCTTGATCACAACTTAATAAATTGTGAGTCATGATCACATTTTTTAAATCATAAATTATTTGTTGATTACAAATTAATAAAATAACTGGTCACAAAATACTCTTTTTCCCACCTCCCACACTGCCCCGCGCACACCCTCTCGCCACCACCTCCACCACAACTACAACAACAAACCCACACCATTGTACCACCACATTATCACAACCTACACCAATAATACCATCAACTACCCCAACATTCCGATAAAGCAGATCGGAAGAAAACACCCAAAAATCCACCCCCAAAAATCATCTCAAAATCATTGTAGCAACTCTTCATGCCGACAATCAACACAAACTACAAACTGCTCAATGTCGCTCGACACCGTTCATCTATAGATTGCTCCGGAGCACAATGCAAGATGCTGCAACGTTGTGCTTCGCTCAATGGTTGTGCAGTGATGCTACACACAACAAAACTGCCGCTATACATTGCGAGCATAGCGCCATAGTGCACCTAGTGCTACAGTCCAAAGATCGCCTTAACATTGCCCCGTATAAAGATAGAGCGGTGGCAACACAATCGCAACGCGCCACGCACAAAGAGAGAGGGGGAGAGAGAGGAAATGAATTTTAGGGCTAGAAAAGAAATTAAGGTTGTGGTTGGATGAGGGTGGATTAGTTTAATTTTATAATATCATTATTAATATTTAGAATTTTAATTATTATCTGATTTTGAAAGGAAAAACTTAGAATTCTTAATTATGAATTGAGATCTTGAAAATACTTAGTCCCTATAATTTACACGTAAAAGTATTTTGATTGACCAACTACCCAAATCTCCAAACTAAAGCCCAAGTACAAATGAGAAATAAGTTCCACCCGAAACAACATAGACAAATGCAAATTACATCATGGTAAGGGCCATTTTATTTGTACCTTAATTTGGCCTGTCTATGCCATTGGTGCTATCCTTCTACCATTGCTCCTGATACTCCACATCTGATGTTGCGGATTGTTTCCATTGGTCGAGTATTTCGCCTCTCTCTTTCAAATCCTCTCCCATCAAAAGTATACATGCATAGTTTCTACCTATCAATTTTTGCCTAGTCATCCTCTAAATTTCCAAATTTGATTGCGTTTTTCTTTGTCCTTCAAGGTGCCACATAGAATAATAAGTACTCGTAAGTGATTAATTCCCTTTGTCTGATATCCTTCTCACTTTCCACTAGGCAGTCCAACTCTTAATGCAGAAGGTGACTTGAGGTAATATAAACATAAGCAAGTTTCATTTATCTAACCCAACTTTCATTGAAGCCTGAATCTTGACTCATTTCACTGAGAATCCTTCTCACCTCATCAATATTCTGAGCTGCAGCATATGAATTTGTAGGTAAATAGACCCGGTGCAATGCTCTGGAACTTTAGTTCCTCAACAATCAAACTCACCTTTTCGAGTTGCCCAACTGACAAGTACAATGACACATCCCATACCAAGACTCAAGACATGACGTGAGCCGATGATAAGTGCCAGCTAGGCATTGGACCCATCACCAAGACAAAAGTAACTAAACTTTAATAATCAAGCTTCATTTGACCAAATAAAATCTTTCTGAACTCCAATATACCAACATAATAATATCATTCGCTCGTTTAGCCAAAAATATCCATATCATTTTCATCATAACTACCTCTCAAAAGGATAATAGAAGGCAATTTAGATTACAATATTCCATCATGATCATTGGTGCATATAAATACCAAAAAAAATTCCTCCAATATGATGCAAATATTTTACTTGATGATTACACAATTTCAAACAAAAGAACCTACAATTGGTGGTAACAATGGTTGCAAAACTATCAAAATAATCTCCACCACGGCTCAGTCAATAGCCTCCTATAAGGAAAAGTTAAGAAAAATATGAGATAATAATCCCAGTGAGTGGAGTGCTTAAAAGATGGTTGTATTGTCCTTTATGTGTGTGTGTGTGTAACCAGATGAGTAGGTGAATTAAACAATTCAAAAATCTAAAACCATAATCAGAAACCCACAAGCTGAATTGTAAACGGGAAAATGTAGACTGTAGACTAATAATCCACTATATAATTAAAATTCACATCAAAATATATTTCATGTAAACATCTACTAATGATCTAAAAGCTATGAATCATATGTGCATAAATCATCTGATCAATATTCTGTACACGGACATAGCCCCTCAGTATACAAGATGGAAACAACATAATCATCCTTATACACGGTTGTAGCCCCTCAGTGTATAATGGGTACCTTTACCCACGACCATAGCCCATCAGTGGATAAGAGTTACCCTTACACATGGTTGTAGCCCCTCAGTGTATATTGGATACCTTTACCCACGGCCGTAGCCCCTCAGTGGATAAAAGTTAAATAATGACTCTAGTACGCGATCGTAGCTTGTCAGTGCACTAGAGTAAGATAATCACATCAATTATTTTATGATAATTTCAAAACAATCATGTTCATTTACTAATTCTCGAAAATAAATTATTTCATGTAATTAACATGCTTCTATAAAATAAAAAGAAAATCTTCTTTTTGAAAACATAGATTCTCCACTCACAGATATAGACTGGACTAACGGGGTTGGTATGTTGTTCCCACGTCCAAATCCTCTCCTGAAACGATCATAAATATAAGCCACTTCAATTCCATCCATATACAGTTACAAGAGATTTCTCAATAATAACCCCTTCTTATCATCAAAATAAAATATATATCTCTCAATAAGTAATAAGCTGAGACTTAATATTTATATTTCATTTGGTTACTTAAACAAAAGTTCACTTAATTTCGAATCACTCTACATCCTTCACTCGTTAATACTAACCTTTCACGGCTGCCCCATGAAGATTCAACAAGCTTTTCATGATAATAATCATCCACATTCCTTATTTAAATTTTCTTTTAACTAAATACATAAATCTTATCAAAAGGTCCTTTCTTATATTCTCCATATTCATCCAAAGTGAGAATTCAAGCATAAGATAAGTTATTTTCAACCAATCTAACTTAATACCATACAACAATCACAAGGGAAAATAACAAGAATGCTAATTTTTCCCAAATTTTCGGATTAACCCATATATAACAAAATCCTAATATCTAAATATCATTTCTTCCAGTCCACTAGAATAACTAGCTCCAAATACTCAAATGGTTAGCTTCCTTATCATATTTTTCAAGTAAAAGCTATAAATTTAAAACCCTAAACAAAAATTTACAAAAACTAAACCATAAATTCTTAACCTTACCTCTTGAAGAATTAAATAAACAAGATTGAAGTAGTTGGCACGAGATTTCTTCTTTCTTCTTCCTTTTTCCTTCCTTTCTTTTTCTTTTCTTCCCTTTTTCCTTGGTTTTTCCCTCTTCTCTGCGTTCTCTCTCGTTCAACACATTCTAGTGTGTGTTTGTGTGTGATTTTAGAGAAAAAATGGTCAAAGTTTGAATATAAAGGCCCACTTTTTCAAAATTGCAAAGGAAGGGGGTTAATAGAATATAACATTTAAATCCTAAACTTCCAAGAATATATATAAGTAAATTCCCAACTTTAAATTGTAGCCGATTTAACTCTCATATAT